CTGTTCATCCATCCTCAACTGCAGTGCCATTTCCTCCTGCTACTACATTTCAATATCCAGGGTTTCCTTTTGAAACCAGTTTTCCTCTGTCATCTAACTCCTTTTCTGGTTCTGCTGCATATATGGATTCATCATCTGGCGGAGCACTTTGCTTCCCCAGCATGCCCTCCCAGATGGTGGGACCGGGTGGCGTAGTTTCATCCTCTTACCCTCGACCCTATATTATGAGCCTTCCCGGTGGTAGCAGTAATGTTGGCCTTGATGGTAGGAAATGGGGTAGTCATGGTCTTGACCTTAATGCTGGGCCTGGAGCTTCAGAAACAGAACGGAGAGCTGAAAGGTTGCCTTCAGGAATGAGACAGCTTTCTGTTCCCAGTTCGCAAGCCCTGGTAGAGGATCAGTTAAAGTTGTTTCAGGTGGGAGGTGCGGTGGGAAGTGCATTGAAGAGAAAGGAACCTGATAGTGGGTTGGATGCTGTTGATCGAATTGGCTATAAGCAGCCTTCATGGCAGTAGAATTATGGCACAATGCGGTAAACCTGTCCAGGTGTGGTGAGCTTTTGTAGCCTTTTCAAATTATTGTATTCAGATTCTTTATTGCCTTAGACAAGTAAGGAAACCCTTGGATTGTGTCACTAGTCACTACTGCAGTCATGAAATTGGATTAATGATATTCATCTCTAATGATATCTTTCTCCATTTGATTACAATCAGTTAAATTAATGATTTGTTCTCACTTTGGAAGCTTTGGAGTCGATCCTGCAAAAGTTTCTTTTAATATTTATTTTTCATGAATTGTTTAACTTTTTCAGTAAAATCCTTAATTTGTTTATTCGGAATTTCTCCATATGAAAAACTATAGTCTAATCCTGAATGACTAGAGGGGCATATGACCTTGTCTTCACTGCAACTTGTAATTTGTAAGCTGAGTTGCCATCATAATAAAAGGAAAATTGAAATTGATTTTCCACCTGCTTTTGTTGGTTGGGTTTTTGGTTTGTAATATGATATCAAACAAAACTCTTCTGTGAAATTTCCTTGAACATTCTCTTCTTGATGAAGCTTTCTTGTTTCTTTCTTGCAGCACATCGGGGTGCTTTGCATTGGAAACTAACAGGAGTTGACAAGTTGTTCGCTTGAACAGTAAAAAATGCTAAAGGGCGGGTGCAGGCGTTCATTGCACGGAACACCAGTCCGTACCATCTCTAACTTTGGAAACCCCTGGGGTCCTGGAAGCAGTTCTTTTAACTGAATCTGCTCTGATGGCCACTGCAGACAAGTTTTTCTGTGTAGATATCTAACTCTTGAAAAGCATCCTCTATACGCTGCCTAAAGCTGTGACATTGGTGCTCAATGTTTGGACTCCTGCTCGCTCGTTCAGGTACACACTGCAACCCCGATCCTTACTCAGATTGTATTCTTTGGGGAGATTGGTTGTATGAACCTCCCAGGCCAGGCCAGGGTCGGCGTGTATTCTGTCATTAATTTTTTTTCCTTCTCCAGTTGTTACATATATATAGTTATTACCTAGTCAGGACTGCCGAATTTTGTTATATTGTCACATTCTGGTTATTGAAATTTGCACAGGCCGTCACCGTGTTGTGTTTTTTTTGCTTTTTCCCGTTGTATTATAAGTTATAACCTGAGTCGTTGGGATCTTTTTGGCAAACCTAGAGATTGTTGGACAGAAACTTCACTTTTGCCGCATTTGATTCATTTATATTATGAAATGCCTTTTGACTTGGTTGTTAAATTTCGATGATGCCGCTGACAGGGTTTTCGTTTACTTGTTTTATCTTCTTTTACATATACTGTGAAATGTAATCCTGGCAACTGTCGTACGACTTCAGTAACTCTGGTTTCAGCGGAATCGTAAAGATTATGGGTAGACGGTGAAGGTGCAGTTGGCTGATTTTTTTATCTTACACTGCATCGTTGGGACATTCTAGTGATTATTTACACCTAAATTTATGTAACAATGTCGGCCTGTTGTTTCTGAGTTGAACAATTCAATTCCGTCATGGGTATGCAGCGCTGAGCGCACCACATTTTCTGATATAATTGTAATTTTTCGTCGTTTCTTTTTCTGTTCGCCGGAGAATCACTTGTTTGGAATTGGATCGTTTTGCTAATTGTACAAGTCAATATGCAATCACGCCGTCTGCAGCCTCGTAGGGTTGTTTGTACATATTGCCTCTTCGGCACTTCTATGCCGGAAAATGTTTCCAAAGTTATTAAATTGACCCATTCAATCATGCGGTGGATGTCATGCATCGGAGTCTCGGAGCACGGTAGAATTTTCGTCGTAAAAACATCCAAGGACAACAGAAGAACATCCAAGGACAACAGAATTTTCGTAAAAAGTGAGGGAACTTTCAGTATCAGACGCACTTGTCGTGTTTCAGAGTTAAAAGTAGTAGCTTTTAAGAACAAATCTCTGAAGAACCAAGGAAGGTTTCATATGACAATGTCCGGGAATGGGGTTACAAATTTAACAAAACACATGTCGCTTTTGTTTAGTTGCACAAAAGTAGCCACCTCTGTCTCGTCGTATGAACGGTTAAGGTTTCGGATGGACCACCACATGCGATTGAATCGAAGTGCCCAAAACAAAAGATTAGCAAAGTGGGCCAGGAGGGACTGTCAAGGGATAAAATAGTCTTTTTGCATAGCCCAAGGAAAAAGATCCGGTGAGGATCATTTTCTTAGGAATCCTAGGAATCCCGTTATCTTATATGTTCATCATATATCGTGCGGTTAGAAATCATTTTAAAACGTAAAATTTAAAATTAAATATGAATAGTATTTAATGAAAATTGATCGCACCATATATAATAAACGGATGAAATCACGAGATTTCTAGGAAAATGAATCCTTTTCCGCCTTTTAGGAGGGAGGAGGGACAATGTCAAACTTTGGGATTCACTTGTAGAATGTCGGTGATATCGTAGCCCAAAAATCCTAGGGTCAGACCACTGACCAATTAGCTAATGTGCCAAATATTAAATGGTGAAATCAACCAGCCAATTATTTGGCGTGATTTCAGGGCTCAACGTACGATTGAAACTTGTTTTCTTGCTTTATAATTGGTCATTTATTAGGCCTTACATAGTAATCTATTTGTTACACTAGCATGTTGGTGTTGTTTTTGTGTCAAACTTGCTGTTTTAATGAGTTTCATATTTTAATCTCAAACTCGACCTATTAAATTTAATAGATTACCAGACCCGTACCGTTTTACTTAGTTATGAATAATACAACTACAATTATTTTATCAAGCACTACAATTACATGATACATAAATTGAGAGAGAGATTGAGAAAGCCAGGACCTTAGTTTAATGGATTGAAACTTGCAACGGGTTACCTGCGTGTAGACTTGAATCAACTTATCGTTCAACAGGTACTTAAAGGGTTGACCAGATAAAATACAAGACCCGTTAAGTCTCGACCCAAAGCCTACTTTCCGTTTTACTTCATGTAGGATTAAACGTTTCATGTCGTTTCGTTTTGGGTTACCACGGATTGGCATCAAGGGTGTTTGCTACTATTTATAAAAGAAAAAAAAAATGCAGCGTCTTTATCTGTTGTCAATTTTGATGCCAATTCACGTAAGAATGACACGGCGTTGGAGCTTCTTACATGTCTTCAAATTGTGTTACATGCCAATCCACCTTGAATTTGAATATTCGGTTGGAGATGCTCCAAAAATGCATGTGGTAGATGCTCTGGAGGATAACGCCTTCTCCAACTCTGCGAGTCTCGAATTTAAACTCTTCAAATCATCTTAATCGATCTAGATTAGAATAATAACATTGTTCATAAACAAAGAGTTAGAATAAAAATATGATTCCGTTGATTAGATGTTACCTCATTGTATTCGATGCAATGCAACAGCACCGGATGGACATAGACCCAGTCTTGAACCACAACAATTTTCAAAACTTCCGACCGCCTTTTATGGAGGAGGGTTACATGGAGGAGGGTCATATGGGACTCAGAAAGCTCAACTGGGTTTTTGCCACGTAGGGAACACTGATTCATCATTCTTCCGTCCGAAGACTCCGAGCCAGTCGATTAGATTCCGCCGAGTATACTGGTCAATTAGTAAATTCACATGCATGCATGCTCTCTCTCGTCATTTCAGTTACTCATTTGCATGGCTTGCCGCGTGTTTCAATGTCACATCTCCCATCTCTGAAATGCCCCTAATTACAAAGCACACCCTTATTATTTTTCGTTGGGTTTTTAGCGAGAATGGTTCTGAAATTGGTATAACTCTTCATTTTGGTTATTGGGATGTGAAATCGATAGAAGTAGTCCCTAAGTTTGTCCATCATCAATCATTTTAGTCATTCTGTAAAAAATTATGTTAAATAGGGACCAAAATAACAAAAATAGCCTCAATTTAATAAACAACGGGTCAAAATGATTTGACATAAATTGAGGGTAATTTTGTTATTTGGGTCCGTATTTAATGGAGACTTTTCACGAAATGACCAAAATGATTTATGGTAGACAAACTCAGGGATTATTTATATCAATTTCAAATTTCAGGGATCAAAGTGAAGAGTTATGCTAATCTTAGGGCCCATTTTAGATAAAATCATTTTTTTACAAGTGACAATCTTTCAATTTCTTGATGTTACTACTCGAAGTGTTAACGTTAACAATTCAAGTCATTCTTCTATCTTATAGTCTATGTGCTCGTAAACTGGATACGTAGTATGTATGGAGCTCCCTTGTAAAATACAATCGGACTATATCGTGGACCAGTTATTCTCTTGCCTGGTTTTGGCCGAACACAAGAATAACTTGAATTGTGAAACTTTTAACACTTTAGGGCGCAATGCGTAAAAAACTGACGTAACAAACATTAAAATGTTGAGTGATTTTTGACATTGACCTAAAACTGAGGGTGTATTATGTAAATAGCTCAAAAGAAAGGAAAGGAAAGGAAAGGAAAGGAAAGTAGGGGGCTCTCGCACCGTCTCACGCAAGGCACAATCCCTTTACTCCCAATGATGGAGTTGCAGAATCTGCACTCTCTAGCCCTTATAATTTCTTCTTCATAGACTCTCTCTCTCTCTCTCTCTCTCTCTACTTTCTCTCTCTTCTGTCTGTTTGAGGCAGTCATGAGTCTTTGTACTTTTTTCCCAGAAAAATCCCACAACTATCCCAAAAGGGTGAGAGGCCATGATGGTCTGAGCAGATTGGCTCCTTTCTTTGTCACATTTCTAGCCACATGCACCATTTTCAGCTTCTTCCTATTCTATTCTCCAAACCCTTTTTTAATTTCTCCCAAACAGGCCCTTAACAATCTCAATTCTCTTCCAAACCAGGCATCCATTCATGCAGCACAAAAAGACCATCAAGCCCCTGATCACACTACCATCAAGCTCCTCCCCCCACCAAGTAACTCTTTCTTGTTACAAACAGAACAAAACCCAATTCCTTTTTTTTTAAAGTAGTTTTTGGATCATTTTCTGAAAAGTTTGGTTTTTGTTTTTTGGATTTTGTAGAGGAGGAGGAGGAGTGTGATTTGTTTAAGGGGCAGTGGATTCCGGATTCGAGAGGAGCAATGTACACGAATTCGAGCTGCGCCACGATTCCGGAATCGAAAAATTGTTTCAGAAACGGGAGGAGGGACAGTGATTTTCTGAACTGGAGATGGAAACCGGACAAGTGTGAGCTTCCGCGGTTTGATCCGAAAACGTTTTTGGAAATTGTTCGGGGAAAGAGAATGGCGTTCGTCGGCGACTCGGTCGCGAGGAACCATGTCGAGTCTCTTATCTGCCTCTTGTCACAGGTCAGTTCATTTTTTGATATTGGATTTGATATATGTTTTTTTACGCTGATATTATAAATTACTCTAATTTATACTTGGACTATTTGTATCTATATGCATTAGGATCCCAATTCATGGATCTCTTGGTTCGAGAAATAAAAATAAGAGGATCGAACCATTTCTTCTGACTCTTTTTCAAATTTGATAAATGCTGTTTGATCATATATTTCATTATAGTTCTATGATTTAGAGTATCATTTCCTATTTGATCCCTTTAAATTCCATATTCGAAGTTGCGATCGGATCTATTCATTAAAAAGAATCGATTCAATACATTTCTTATGTATCCATAGGTGCTATATTGGATTTGAATCAGATTTTGGACGAAACAAAACTTCTAACTCGGTGTAATGTCTTGGCCAGCCGCCCTAATCAACATCTTCGATTTCTGTATGATCCTTGTGTTTTATTTTTTAGTGTGCCAGTTTTGTGTGTCCTTGAAATCTAAAACTTATGCAAGAATAATTCGATAACAATTTCACAACAAAATACTTTTACTAATTTTGTTTGCTTAGTTGTTATCGCTTGTCATGGTAATGGCATTTAATTAGCGTAACATTTGATTTTATATCAATTTAATTAGTCTAATTGGCATAGGAGAATAATATTGCTAATTAAGGGCTTGATTGGATTCAAATTCAATGTAACAGGAAAACAAAAGGTATGTAGCAGCAATTCAAATTTCCACTGATTATGGTTTTCCTGTGCAATTTTTTATACAGTACGTAACATTGAATGGGTCTAAAAAATTAAGGGTTTAGATTTTGCATCAGTGACGAAACCACTAAGGGACCAGAATGGTTCCTGGCCCATTCTGCCCTTTTTTTTCTTGCTATTCTAATAGATGCTAATGCTACTTATCAGTTTAATACTTTTAAAATTCAAGTGTGTTTTCAATCCAAATTCTTTCCGTTCTAGGCTAGGCCTTTCTCTCAACCCCTCTCATTGCCATGCAGTCCTTACTTCCCCTCTTTATTTTATCAGCTTTCATTTGGTTTTAACTTGTATTTTAGGCTATTCAATAGTACGCTCTGGTGGTATTTCTCTTTACTTGAAAGTAAGATGTTATTTGGATTTTTGGAATTGTGCAACTTTTTTAGCTCTCTCTATTGAATTTATGTTGTTTTAATTTTTATGCAAAATTACTTTAGTCTCTCTGAGTTCAAACAGTTTATGTATGTGAAAAACCCTCCATGGAATCTTGACTCCACCACTGTTTTGCATATAAGGATTTAATGGATGTTACAACGGTTAAATCCTGCGTAAAACTCGTATACTGATTACTGAGTGACTTAGCATTGCAACCCTATTTATTTATTGTTTTTAAGTGGTTGGTGGTGACAATCTGACTGTTCTGTCAGTGACTGTTCTGTCAGTAAAGTCAACCTGAAAAACGAGTAGAACTTGCGGGGCGGTACACATGCACCAAAGTTTGTTTGGCTGACGAAAAATACCAGTGGAGAAACATTAAACAATATAAATTTGCAACGATGTTGTACACGTAAACCATTCATGACATAATAAATGACATCGACCGAGACACAAATTATTTTGCTCATTAAGTTATTCTTGAAGTCAAACTTTAAAATTTTCAATTATTGGATTCAGATTTGTAGATATAAAATAAGGGTAACATGTGACTTCACTGAAATATTGTTTGTTTGGAATTGCTTTAAAAGGATTGAAGACGTTTTCAGATAAAGTGTTTTTGGGTTCCAAAATTATTTAATGTGTTGCATACAATGCTTTTTCAGGTTTCACTTGCATTTTTACTAAGAATTATTTCGAAAAGTGTTTTCACCAAAAACGTTTTCAGCCATTTTAAAAATATTTCCAAACAAGCTCATAATAGAAATAATAGTTTGCAGATGTGGATGAGGTCATTTGATTAGAATAGTGTATTTGTTTCCTTTGTACTCAAGTTTAAATCTCATCCCGCAAATTAAAGTGTTCAGGAACATTGTGACAACTTTACTAAGCTTGGTGCTTTATGATTTGAAGCAATGTCACAGTGCCACAGATGCCATATATGCATCTCATTACCTTTCGTGCTCGTCTAATTTTTGGAGTGATGACAAGCAATCGTAGTGGTTTATAGTTTAGAGGGGATACTATCTTTGCAACAATGTCCACTAATTCTTACGTTGGTAGTTCATAAGGTACTTAATTAGGTGTGCTTAACCGTCCACAAACTAGGGATGATAACGAGGTGGGACAGAGCCATACAACCCATTAACATTTCTGGCATGCCATGTAAATAGGACCCTCGCTATACATTTTGAGTCATAGAATCCGTCTCTTTACAAAACAAGCGTAAGACTACTTATGATAGATGTTTCCTCTTCTCCTCCTGCCGACCCTCGCAACGTAGGTAGCCTTGGCTTGGGGTCGGTTATTTTAGTAGTGCCTTGCTATATTGACATGCCATATACGCAACAGTTCTTTATTCAAATACATAAATTACGCTTCAGGAGCATGTACAAGGATCTTCTAAACCCTAATATTAATCCTATTAATCTTGCAGGAGGAAAACCCTAAAGACATTTACAAGGATTCTGAAGACCGGTTCAGGACATGGTACTTTCCTCGGTACAACTTCACCCTCATGAAATTATGGTCCAAATATCTCATAGCTGCAGAAGAGAAGATGGTTAACGGTTCAGGATCCGGCGTTTTTGATTTGCAACTAGACAAGGTCGACGACGTATGGGCAGACCAGCTCCCGGAGTTAGACTACGCTATAATCTCAGGCGGGCATTGGTTTTTTCGTCTAATGTACCTACACGAAGGTGACAAACTCACCGGATGTGTCTATTGTAACAAACCTAATGTCACCGAATACAACAACAGCCACGCCCTGCGCATGGCGTTTCGAGCTACATTCAAGTACATAAAGGATTGCAAAAACTGCAAGGGAGGCCTCTTGACCTTGTTGAGGACATTTGCGCCGGCACATTTTGAGGGCGGGGCTTGGAACACCGGGGGATACTGCAACAGAACAAGTCCTTTGAGCGAGGGGGAAGTTGATTTAAAACGTTTCGATTGGGAGCTGAGGAGCATTCAGGTTGAGGAGTTAGAAAGAGCAAGAAAAGAAGGGGAGATGGAGGGGAGGAAGTTTAGGGTTTTGGATATAACCCGAGCCATGCTTATGCGACCGGACGGGCATCCCGGAGATCACTGGGGAAACAAGTGGATGAAGGGTTACAACGACTGTGTGCACTGGTGCATGCCAGGCGCTGTTGATTATTGGAACCATTTTTTGATGGAGATTATCCGAAACGAGAGAGGATTAGTTTCTTAGTTGAGTGTTTAGGGTTTAGTTAGAACAAAATTCATACAAATTCGTATCTTAATAGTTAATAATGCCCTATTTTTTTTTACTTTGTTTTTATTACAAGGGCGTATATTAATTTTAGTTCAGAGATATAGCTTGGGCTCGGATTTATGGTTGTGGTGGGTCGGATCCATATCCCACCGCTCGTTTTCCACGGTAGTTGTGCGCTACTCCGCTGACTATGAATAAGCCGTCTTACTTGACTTGATCTATGGCGGTTCCTCCTCCCATGGCTGCTATAGATCCCTCTAGAAGTGGTTTTGTCCTCACCACGAAGACTTGCAGATTGATGGTTCCATTCTCAGATTAGGTAGTTTTTCATTTTAGCCTGGCAGGTTGTGTTGTATTGCTTCGACAAGTCGTTTGTGGCCTCGTTCTTGCGATGGCTTTTGTAGCCTTGTTCTTGCCATAGCTTTTGTGGCCTTGGTGCAAGGTCTGTTACTTCTGCCATCATTGTGGCAGATCTTTACCAATGGCTTATGGTTCGTGTTGTTGTGATGTGGTTGCCTAGTAGGGGTTTTCCTTATTTGTCAATTTGGACGGATTTATCTCCATATCAAAATGTTTAGTCACTGGAGAAATGTACCCATCTGGCACCTCTATTGTAATGTTTAGTTGTATGTATTTGTTCTGATAAATTAAATTCTCTACGTTTTTGTAGTGTGTATATATATATATATATATATAGCAAGTCGAGTCAAGTAAGTTGCAAAGTATCCAGAATCTGAGATTTTTCACTACCAATTTGCCAATGTAGATCTTTTATTTTGGCAAAAGTGTTTTCCGTGCTGGTTGCTTTATAAATGTTAATATAACTAACAGACCTTAGCGAATCTCCCTCTCCGAAGTTTATATTCGAATATCGCCTGAATAAAAATAAAAATTCTAGATGTTCTTGTTCAAAGTAATTTAAGAGCATCTTTAACCGATATGTCAAATTAATTTTCGTATAAAGCATGTACATGTGCTCGGAGTTTGGAAACGATTCATACTCTGGTAAGATGTAGGTTGCTGGTTTATGTCCGAAATTCGGGTCTTGTGCTAATCTCTGTGTGTAGATTGAGTGAGGTTTTAACTCTCTCTCTCTCTCTCACACACACAGAGTCATTAGCAGGTTGGCTCCTTTTCTCACCTGTCTAGCCATAGCCACCATTTTCATCTTCTTCTAACTCCATTCTCCAAACCCTTTTCTAATTCTTCCCAAACAAGGCCTTGATCATGTTATTAAGCTCTAACCACCAACAAGTAAACATACAAAAAGAAAATAAAGCCCAATTGTTCTTTTTTATTTTCATATTTGAATTATTTTAGAGTCTGTTTGGTAAACATTTGATTTTTAGTTTTCGTTTGTTGTGCTAGAGATGAAGCGAAAATATGTGAGAGGAGTGAAGGGAGAAGAATGAAGGGAGGTGGTGGGAGAAAGGGAGGAGGAAGAGATTGCAATTTTTGGTTTGTTGATTTTCAGTTTTCAGTTTTCGTTTTTTTGGATTTTATTTTTCGTCATGTGTGTTATTCCTTTTCCATTTCTTCCACCATCCTTTCTTCACCCTTCTCCGTTCCTCCTTTTATAATATACATTTTCTTTAGCTAAAAAATGAAAAATAAAAACTAAAAAACGAATTCGTTATCAAACGCCTTGTTATTTTCTTTGGGTAGGGTTCTAAAAGAGATTGCAATTTTTGGTTTTTGTAGAAGAAGAGAAGTGTGACTTTTTAAAGGGTCACTGGATTCCAGATCTGAGAGGGCCAATCTACACCAATACAAGCTGTGTCACTCACTGTTCCTGAATCAAGGAATTGTTTCAAATATGGTAGGATGGACAAGGGTTTTCTGAACTGGAAATGGAAGCCGGACAACTGCGAGCTTCCGTGGTTCGATCCAAATACATTTTTGGAAAACGTTTGAGGTAAGAAAATGGCCGTTATCAGATGTAAGGAAACATACATATTATCTTGACCAACCGACCTAATTAACCTAGTTATGTATACTTTTATGTGCGGGTTCTTCAATGAACTATGATATTAACACTAATAACTTGCAGGAGGAATCCCCTATACGAGGATTCCGAAGACCACTTCAGGACATGGTACTTTCCTCGGTACGACGACTTCACCCTCATGAATTTATGGTCCAAATTTCTCATAGCTGCAGAAGAGAAGAAGGGGAGATGCAGAGAAGGAAGTTTAGGGCTTTAGATGTAACCATGCCATGCTTATGAGACCGGACGGGTACCTGGAAGTTCACCGGAACAAGTGGATGAACGGCTATAACAATTGTGTGCGTTGGCGTAGTTTCTTTGGGCCAATTTGATATTTGATACTGTTGTAGCTTTTTAAAGATATTCTTCAGTTGTACAGTAAATATTAATCGAATATAATCTCTCCCCCGGTGCTCTATCCTATATACCATACTTACGTTCTATAACTTAACCTAGAGCTATTCCTCATAGTACTATCACTGTAACTTCCCAGCTCCAATCAACAAGTAAGCTGGAGTCCTAGTGTTTTCCGACGAGTAACAAGTGACATGGACACCAAACTCCGAGAAGGTTAATCCTCGACTGAAGCATACATAACCTAGGACATAAATTTCAAATCCCTACATTCTTTCATAATTAACATATGTTAAATCGAGTACCTCTATACATAGCAAAAGAGGGGCTTTTTCGCAATCCTTCTTCCTTCTCCGAACCCCACAGTAAATTAAAGGAAAAAAAGGATTCATAGCAGACTGATCTAACACGTTTATAAACTTTCACAAATATTCAGCAGATTTTGGGAAGCCAAGGTATCCCTTCACATCAGACATAAAACATGCACCCAAAATTTGGTAAATATGCGAAAAGAGATCCTACATAACAACGGACATTCAGAGATGCCTTACACACACAGTCATGCACACAAACGGAAGGCCAATTTCAGTCAACAGTACAGCAAAGCCATAGAAGAACTCTTGGCTCAATCACACAGAGGGAAGAGTCTGAGAAGTATGATTACCACAAACCATAGCTAGATTGTTGAAGCAGATAGGTTTCAGAATTATCCGAAACAAAAAATTGCAAACCGATACCAAGGATCGACAGTTAATTGATACAGGACCAGCCTTGTTTCATAAGAGAGTGCACAATCAGAAAACGGAATTTTAAAACTATGCAATGAATTTCAAATTATAAGAGTAGAAGCATTACAAATACGAGAGTAGTCTAACAAACATCTGCAGTGCACACATAGCACGCACACGCCTTCAGCAGATGAAAGCGATATTTTAAAGAGCTCAAAAAACCAAGGCTCTAGATAACTAGTAAAGCAAGTTCGATAACTAACTGGCTTGGGGCATAGGGTCCAAGTTATTCAAATCTACATGATCTAATCAGTCCATGGAAGATATCCTTCAAAAGGCTGCATCAGAAAAAAAACTTTAACGGCTGACACACGCCAGTAGAAATTTATAACCTAAACCACAGGAGACCGGGACACTTTTGATCAAATTTAGCATCTTTGATATGGTCTAAAGATGTTCACTAGTCGAATCAATACTCAAATGCAACGCAAGCTCGGATAATTTTGGAACAGTTTTAAGTATGTCAATCAACATGAACAAAACAAAGTATCAATCGAAAAACATCAAATTCAAAATCTGTAACTGTAACTACACTAAGTAGCACAATAGGCAGTAATCTAAACTAACATCAAAAGGTAACACATATTCATTAGACAACAACTAAAACTTTAGATTAACACATAAGCATTGCTCTGAAATCTCATGCTTCCACTGTGTTACCTAGCACAAACGAGAACAGCTCGCGAACCGGTGAAAACTCCACCAATCCAATATCCATGGCATACCCTGCAACCGGCAACTTCAAGTCCCGCAACACGCAGAATGCCTCCGCCATTCGAGTCTTGGGTACTTCCTGAGCGACAGCACAGTAAGGAACCCAGCAGTCAGTGCGATACTCCTCCCCAATTTCCACACCTTCTTTCTTCATTGCCTCACATAATTGGGACTGAAACTGCAGCAACGAAACCGACGGAGTTGGCGACAGAAACAGGACGTTGTTGTCATTTGGGAGGCTCCCGATCGAAGAGAAAGACAAGGCCAGAGGCTCTTGCTTGGAAGCGAAGGTTCTGATCACGTTTTCGAGCTTGGCGGGTTCGATAAAGGGACTTGAGAAGAGGGTGATGTGAGGTCGTGATTCGATTTCGATAAGCTGGGTACTAATCTGACGGCGGGCGAGCACGTTCCAAGCCTTCAAGACCTGGTTTTCGAGGGCTGGATCGAAGTAAAGCTCGATTGCGTAGCCCTCTGACATTGCCATGGGATTGAAATTCGAAAGAAAACAATCAAATTGGATCGAAATCACCACAACCCAGTTTCAGAAATTGAGATCTCAGATTGCCCAGAAACGAAAAATGAAAGATAAGCTGAAATCGAAGTGACCCAGAATTGCAAGAACCAAAATTTCCAAGAAAAAAATTACAGATTCAAGAAAATATCACAAAACAAGAACTACCCAAGAGAGGCGGGGGTCGGAAAAAGCCTGCGAATTGAAATCAGAAATGGGGAAGATGAGATTTTTAAACCATGTGAAATGGTGGATTAAAGTTTCAATCAGAGAGAGACAGGGGGAATAAAGGGGCAATAAAAAATCAAAGGGAAAGCTCGAAAGGGGTTTCCCAAGAGGCTCTGTAGCAGCGAAGCTACGATTTTTCTTTGTTCGGAGATTACAGTGATCGGATAAGATAAAGTGGGAGAGAGAAGGGAGGAGGGGCCTTGCACCATCTGTTGAAGGAGGAGGAGGGTGCAAGGTCACCTGTTTTTTGGTGGTTAGCTTTCGCTTCTTCAAGTTTTTCAACACTCTCAATTCTTTCAAAATTGACGTCCCAAGGTCCCAAAGTAGAGAGATACATTGGTAAAATTGCTTAATTAGTACAAAGGAAAAGATTGATTGATTGTACACAACCAAAAAGATTTAATAAAGAATAGATACATGCATGAGTAGCGATAAATGACGTTAAAGTGTTTAAAGTAATCATACGTTTTTAAGTGAAAAATAATTAGAATTTACGATAAGAGAGCACATAAGTACAAAAAAGCTCGATGTAATATTGGCCGAAAAGCCTTTGATACTTGAGTTAGCAAATTGTCATAAAACTTTGGGCAAGTATGTTGTGATCATGAGAATAATCCCCCCTTCTAGAAAGGTAAAAATAGTGGAGCTTCCCTCCTTTTCAACATGACGTAATTTGATACTGAGTACGGTAATGACACGTGTTCGTGAGCGTATGGGGTTTAAATGGGACAAGGATTGTCTGCCCTCCACTTCCAGTGCCCTTCCGGTGCCCTCCTGTTTGTGTGATCATGGTTAAGTCACGTCAATATTTTATATTACTATTCAATTTTGTCTTATTATATCTATAAAAAAACAACATAAAATATTGACGTGACTTAACTGTGACCACACAAAACAAGAGGGAACGAGGAGGGCACCGGAAGTGGAGGGCAGACAATCCTTGTTTGTCTAAATAGGGACAACAAAAACTTTGTATTAGCTAAGTGACAAGTTAATCACCGGCTACCATGTGTAGAGGTTCCTCAAAGAAATTATCAAGTTGTCAATTAGTTAGCATTGATAAGTTAGTTATCTAACGACCAATATTCAAC